AAATTCAATAAATTAAGTTTAATTACAAAAAAAAAAAAATAAATAAATAAAATAAAATAAATAAACAAATAAATATAGATATCATATTTTAAACATATACAAAAATATATAAATTATAAAATAAATAAAAATTCAATAATTGCTCAAGTCTCAATTATGTTTCACTTGAAGCTTTAGGACAAACTAAAGCTCATTTATAACTTAATCAAAGCTCAGACTGAGTTTAGGTAACGCTAGCTCCAGCTCGCAATCAGAATACCTTAAAGCTCATTTAGAGTAAGCTTGAAAATATATCTAGGATTAGCTTGTATCTCACATGAACTTCACTCTCCAGGCTTTAAGCCAAGCTAATGCTCACTGAAAACTTACTTAAATTTGAATCTTAGGTTAATTAGGGCCAGCTCGATGCAGGCTATCAAAGCCAACTTTCGGCTCACCAAAGTAAATGAATAACATTCACTTAAGGCGCTTATGAAACCTACTTGAAGCTTTAAGCCAGTGTAGAACTGTTACTTACTTACTCAAACGTCGTCTAAAGTTCATTGGGAACTAGTTCTAAGTTCTAGCTCAATTAGAGTAAACTTTTGGTGTATTAAAAGTCTTGCTGAAATTGAGTAAATAAACTCCTTGAAAGCTTTCTACGAAAGCAAAGCTCACTTGAGCTCGTTCGATGATTTAATGTTGTCTTACAATTTCTATAAAATCATTTCTGAATTATATCAAAGCTCATCGATTTCTTTAAATATTTGATTAAAGCCCACATCAAACTTGCCTCAAGTTAAATCAAAGCTGCCTCAAGGCAAGCTGAGAGTCTAACTAAATTAAAGTAAAAGCAATTATTCATGTTCAGAATGCTTTTCAGATACATTTGAAACTATCTTTAAGTTCGTATAAAGCTCACTTAGAGTCCACTTAAAGCTCCTTCCTGACCTTTTGAGCTTAAGCTCTATAAATATTTGATTTTTAACTGTTATGGGTAAAAAAAAAAACATTAAAGAAAATGAAATGCAGTTAGTTCGTAGTCGATTTTGTATGGGTGCCGCCTCTGCGGCGTCTCGGCGCCTTCTGAACGCCATCTGAACTCGATTATGTGCGTTTTAGCGCAGTGGCACGCCCAGTGGGCGGCGCTGGCAGTGAAACGTCGCTTGACGGTGGAAATTTATGTGGCCCACTAATAAGTTAGCCGGCAATTACGCTGATAAATAAATAAATCAGCGCCGCGAAGCTTCGATGGCGGCGCCTTTGTGGAGAAGCCACTGTACGGGGCCGAGAGTCAATTCGAGACGAGCCGAGCGGAGCCGCTGGGTGCCGCTGGTTGCCGCGTGCTGCTGTGGGTGTGTGACAAGTGCAGCCAGTGGTGCAGCGAGTGGTGCAGCGCGGCGGTCCAGCGGCGCCATTCAAATTCAAATTCACATGTGATCGGCCAAGCATGAGTCAGCCGCGGCGCTGGTGGCCTGTGGTGCTGGAGGGTGGGGCACACAGCAAGAAGGAGTGAGAGAGGCAGAGGCAGTGGCAGAGGGAGTGGCAGAGGGAGTGGAGGCAGAGGTAGAGAAGCTTCTCGTCAGCGGCGCTTAATTAGAAAATTGCTAATAACTCATGCACACGAACAAATTTCAATATTAATGAGGTTTTAAGGCAGCAACCACAACAGCAACAACAACAACAACAGCAGCAACAACAACCAGCAACAACAGCAGCAGCAACTGCTGCAACGGCGACTTAATTGAAAACTTTTTGAATCGTGCCGTCAAATGCAGAAGATGCAGCAGCAGCAGCAGCAGCAGCAGCAGCAGCAACAGTTGCCAGTTGGGCATGGCCCAAACTGTGCGCAATGGGAGGCACAGCAGCAATTGTTGCTGCTGCCTGTCTTACGCTGCCGCTGCTGCTGCTGTTGCTGCGGGCCTGTTGCTCCTGTTGCTCATTAAGTAGCATGAAAACTCAATAGGTTGCTGCCTATTTTGTTGTTTTTTTTCTGGTTTTTTTTTTTTCATTTCTTTTTTATTTTGTGTACTGCAGCGCAATTAACGGTCGCCTCGTCTTTGACTGATTTAGTTGTCAGCTGAGCAGCAGCAGCAGCAGCAGCTGCGGCGGCGGTGGCAGCGGCAGCGGCAGCAACATGTTGCTGGCATTCATAATTAGCATGCAAGCGGCATAAATCGCAGCAGCGGCAGCAACAACAATTAACAGACCCAAATTGCATGCAACACACACACACACACACACACACACACATGCACACATACACGTACACGCTTTCTCTGTCCGCCGCACAGGCATTGCAGCTACTTAGCATGCAGTGCAGCGTTTGATGTCTGCCACAGAACACGTAGGCAACAGCAACAGCAGCAGCAGCAACAACAGCAACAACAACAGCAGCAACAGCAGCAGCAACAACAGCAACTGTCAATTATATTAGTTGCTGTTACACAGCGCGCTAATTCAAAAATCATGCGTGGGCAGCAGCAGCAACCTGGCACGCCAGCAACATTGCCCTCTATGCCAGCAGCAACATGGATGCTAGCAACTTTTCTTAATTAAGTGACGACCTGTTGTTGCTGCTGCTGCTGTTGTTGTTGTTGTTGTTGTTGTTGTTGTTGTTGCTGCTGCTGTTGCTCTTGCTGCATGCAAATTTAATTTGCGTCTTGTCGCGACCTTTGGCCATTGCGTGTTGCTGCTGCTGCTGCTGCTGCTCCTGCTGCTGCTGCTGCTGGCAGCGGCCATAACTTCTCGGCAGCAACATTTCGCATTGTTGTTTGGCCACAAATTGATATTTAACTGGTTGCTCGGCTCGGCTCGGCTCGAGTTGGCCTGGCCTGGCCTGGCTTGGCTTGGCTTTGCTTGGGCCTGGTAAAAGTTCGCACGACTTTTCGCCTCAGCCGAATCGGCAAATGCACGCGTATTTAACATTTACGATCCATTCAAACGGATTCTCAATCTGATCGCACTATCTCACTCCGGCCCTCCCCTGCTCCTGCTGCTGTTGCTGCTGCTGCTGCTGCTGCTGCTCTTGCAATCTTCTCGATATTCGCGATTGTTGCTCGTGTCGTTATCTGTGGCAATATCTCTGGGGGCCAATCCACTTCTGTTGCTGCTGCTGCTGCTGCTTGCATTTCTATCGTGTGTGCGCCGTTAATGTTTTTACTTAACCAACAACACACACACACACACACATGCACACACACACACGCCTCGTTGCATGCTGTGTGCGTAGCGCAATAAATCAAAGTTTTATTTGTTGAAATAAATTCACAGTTTATTGCTTCGTTATTATTTGCGCTGCTGCTGCTGCTGCTGCTGCTGCTGCTGCTGTGGCAATGAACGTTATTGCTGGCTGAATGCAACAGCAACAACAACATCAACAACAACAACAACAGCTGCGACAGACAGCCATCAAACACTCGCAACTGCAGCAAACGCATGCCGGAAATGTTTATTGTTCTTCTTGTTATAACTGTTTGCTGTTGTTGCTGTTGCTGTTGCTGTTGCTGTTGCTATTACTATTGCAATTGCTGTTGTTGCTGCTGCTGATCTCTTTCTAATTTTCACCTCGTTGCAGTATCATGCGTTTAGCTCACGACTTTCGTATTAATTGCTACGACTCTATAAAGCAATTGTGAAATGCATAGGTTGGCCAGTTAGTAACGATACTCTGGCCGATAATCATGCTGCAGTCGCTATTGCAGTTATCGATAACAGGCTGTTGTTGACACGCATTAGAGCTTGGCATTAGAAGGTGGAACGCCCAGTTTTTTAATATACAAATTAAGACCTATAAAAACGATTTTTTTGTCTTTTAATTGATACGGAAAAAAGATTCTTTTAGAATTAAATTTGAATTTTAAAATATTTTTTACATGGATTTAGTTATATATACCATTTAGTTTTTAGTTGATATCTACTCATTTTAATTAAACAAAAAATTTCCAAATTAATGAATTTAATATTTTGTGTAAACTAAATTAGAAAATTCGTAAGTTTTAATTTAAAATATACATTTATAAATATTAAATAAGCAATTAATATTTTAAATATGTATGTATTATTTATATATATTTTTTTCTATAATATTTTTTTTAATATATATTTTTTTTAATTATAAAAATAATTCAATTTAATTTAGTATTTATTTAATTATTCAAAGCTCCCATATTTATTTATTATTTATGCAATCATCATTATTAAAATTTGATGCGTATAAGAACAACAAAAATGTGGCCTAATCGTCTTTTGATTATAGCCATAAGACAAAAAAAAAAAAAAAAAAGAGAAACAAAACAATTTTAATGCCAATTTTAAGTTGTTTCTTTTTTATTTTTGCAATCTTTCGTCTTTTGCTGCGCAAAAATTGCAAGTCAAGCCGATCTGTGGCAATACCACGCCCTAGCCACAGCCACGCCCCTTCCACCTGACTGTCAAGAGGTTGTCAGTGACATTTTTGAACCCTGACCGCCTTTTTTTTCCTTCTTATTTTGCCACACGTTTTACCATTAATTACCAATAGAGATACGAGCAGATATGTCTCTATGTGCATGCATTGGTGTGTGTGTGTGTGCGTGCGTGTGTGTGTGTGTGTGTGTAAACATTACGCAATGTCTTCAATTGGCGAAACGCTGCAGCGTTTAATTGAACAAATATTCGCATGCACATGCAATTCGTCGATGTCGATAATGATCAATAACGATAACGATAGCGATAAATAAGCAACTAAAGAAACATATATCAATTATACAATTACTAAACTATTCACTGAAAACATGAAATTAGTTGGAATTAAAAAAAAAATATGTGTATATAGAAGATTTGTTATCAAAGATGATTCATTATATGATTCTCTTAGAATTAGACTAGCTCTACAAGATCTGAGTGCATAATTTATAGAGTTGAACTTTTCTATATATATGTATATTCCATATATATTTATATTATTATTTGTTCTCTCAAATTAAAATCGTAACAAATATTTATTTATACATTTCATTTTTTGCTTGATCTAATTGCAGCAGCGTAAGCTGTCACCGACATGGGCAGTGAGCAATACTGCTTGAGGTGGAACAATCATCAATCCAACCTGTTAGGGGTGTTTAGTCAATTATTACAGGACGGGAGCCTGGTGGACGTTACATTAGCTTGTTCAGGGGGCCCATCCATCAGAGCCCATAAGGTGAGTGACTTTCAAATGAAATATATCAAATATTGATATAATATATAACTAAATGTATATATAGAACTATAAGTGAATACCAAGCTATAGCTATAGTTATAGTTATAGGTATATGATAAGTAATATTAGCTCCAATTGTGGTTGATTTGATTTCAATTGAAAACTGTTACTCATATCGATGCGAATATTCATGTGATCGTTTATCGACAATCGATAAACCAATATTGATATATTGTAAATAATTAATAAAACTGTCGATGACCGATAATGTCGTAAATAATCTACAAACGCTTAACAAATGTTGATATATTTTATAGTATCGATAGATAATATCGTTGATCATCGATAAACGATACATTAATATTGAAATGCATTAGGAAATCGATAAATAATATCGTAAATTGTCGATAAACGATACATGATTTTTAAATATGGTAAATAATCGATATTTAATATCGTAAGTTGTTAATAATAAAAAAACATTTCGAGCACCGTAAATAATCAATCGATAATATCGTAAACAATAACCATATTATCGACTATTTACGATATTATGGGTATTAGTTAATATTATATTATGCAAGTGTTTCAATATTTTATGTAATTAATCGAGAACAATGTAAGTTATCGATAAACAAGTGTTTCAATATCTTTGAAAACTTGGACATTATATTGAACTCAAGAGACAGCATATGAGATGGAATATACGACAGAATATACGATATGATAACGTGTGCTTAACCTACCTGTATAGGATATATGTAGACATACATACACATCTATATACATACGTATATATCGATGTATTTGCTTGTTCCACATTACCATATGCTTGCTGCGATAGCCGAGTGGGCAGAGCAATTGCAATTGCAATTGCAACTGCAACTGCAATTGGGAGCTGTAAAATGCGGAAGCTGTCGCCATGCTGCGATCAAGGTCGCTGCCAGCGCTGGCGTCGCAGTCGCTGCCAGCTGTTGTTGCTGGTTTTTCTGTAGGCCTCTCAAAATGCCAGTCGCATAAATTAACGAAGCAGCAATACAAACAACAACAACAACAACAGCAACAACAACAGCAGCAGCAGCAACACGATCAAATGCAATTTACACATTTGTCAGTAAATTGTCAACTTAGCGCGCGCAGAGCACTAAACGAGACGCCGCTGCTGTCGGCGTCGCTGTCGGCGTCGCTGCATGTTGCTGGCGCTGCTCGTTTGTTGCTGGCAACAATGTTGACAAGGTCAGCGCCTAATAGAAATTGACTGCGCCCCGCCACGTGGCTGTCGTCATTGGCGTAAATGTGTGAGTGAGTGTGTGTGTGTGTGTGTGTGTGTGTGAGTGAGTGAGTGCATAAATCATGCGTTGCCGTGCAGCAGCAACAGCAACAGCAACAACAACAACTGCAACCGCAACGCTTTGCGCACGTCTGTCAATTGAAATTCCTGTTAAATTAAGCGGAAAATATTTAACTGCGTTGCTACTACTGCCGCAGCAGCAACAGCAACAGCAGCAACAAGCAACAGCAACCTGTAGCCAAGCTGCGGCTGCTGCTGCTGCGGCTGCTGCTGCTGCTGCTCCTACCTTTTGATGTTTGAGCTGATAAAGTTATTTTGAATGTAATTTCTAGTCAATGCATAGAAAAACTGGTAAATTGTTCAATTATAATGCGTTTATTATACCAGCAGCAGCCACAGCAACAACAACAACACTTGACACTGATATGGCCAGTGATTGCCAGACAAGCCACACTTGACCAGGCCGCTTCCATCTTGGCCAAGCGCGCGACAGCCAAAGTTGCTCATTAGGCCACGCTTAGGCGCTGTCAGCAACAGCAACAGCAACAGCAACAATTGCTGATCGCTTGGCGACACAAAACGAATTTGTTGCATTTTCTAGCTGAGTGCGACGCATTCGACTTTGGATTGCATGCACTCAGTCCGCTCGGAGGTATCGAATGCATGGAGATATTTTAGTCGTAACATCTATGATATCAGAAATTGAAGCTAAAAACTTGAGACTGGATTTTATTATGAAAATCTATTGCAAGATTTAACTCGATTCATTTATTCGATATCCAATGAGAAAGCTTGGCTCTAATTTGGGCAATATTGCTTTTGGCATTATTTTTGAAAATTAGAAAAAATAAATAAAATGAAAAATAAGAATATATTCAAATTAAAAAGTTTTATTTTTAAATTTAATTTTAAAATTTTAATGCTTAGAACACTTTATTTAATTTTAATAGCTTTTGTCTAAAGCTAAGACAAGCAAATTTATTAATTTTTTTGTCTTTTTTTTTCACTATTAAAAAATGTTTTATTATATTTTTAATTTAAACAAATATTAAAATTTGAATTTTAAAAAAATTTTATCTTAAATTTTTTTATTATATATTTTTTGATACATTTTTGAAAATCTCTAATGCAAAATTTATAAGAATTGTATTATTTTCTTTTTTAATTTTTTTAATCTAGATATTTATCCATTTTTGAAAATCTTAAATGCAAAAAAGTTTAATTGTATTTGTTTTTTTTTTTAATTTTAATTTTTTTAATCTAAATATTTATTTTTTAATTTGAACAAACTCTACTTTAACAACATTTATTTGTTTTTATTTTTTTTAATAAAAATTAAAAAATTTAACAACAAAAAATATTTAAAAAATTTAAAAGTTTTGTTTAAATTAATTTAATTTAATTAATTTTAAATGCATAAAATTAAGTTTTTTACATAATTTCCATTATTCCTGCTGCAAAGTTAGCTCAAATCAAAATTTAAAGGATTCTGGACTCTCGGGCAAATGCAAATTGAAGCTGAAATGCTAGACATTCGCAGGGCAGCCAAGCCACGCCCCTTCCCTGCTCTTATCTAACTAGATCTAACTGAGCTAAAACATTTCATTAGGAATTGAACAGATTTGTGTGTGCCTTTGGAGCTGTTTGCATGTGCTTTAGCCAAATAGTCTGCGCTGGCTAAGTACATAATTGTTATGGGCAATGCCTTTGGGCCGAGGTTGGGGCACCGGACATGTGGGGACCAGCCCCAGCTGCTTTCTGCTCTCGAATCGTATCTCAAGCTCAGGACTTTTGTGGACAAATGCCCCAACTCCTTTTTAATAACTCGAGCGATTTTCATTTCTTTTTCTGGCTGTCGTCGTCGAGTCAACTTCATTAGTCGCATGGACAAAAACAACATTGGGCTAACGGAGCTGATGAATTCATTTCCTTTTTAGACTGAATTTCGGGCGGACGAAATTACAAGAGTAGCTGAAGCAGAAGAAGAAGAAGTCAAAAGAAAATGAGAAAAAAAATGCAGAGAATGAAGTGAGAACGTTGCGGTAGGGCATTATGGACGGCGGAATACTCTAGCTCTTAGGCTATAAGGAATACAGTTCTATCCAATATGCCACGCCCCCCAATGGGCGCTATATCTCATTGAAGTTGTAATGTCAGCATGAGTATAAATTCCAAACTTCAACTCTCTAGCACCTCAACTGCCAAGGTTTCCGTTATACTGGAAAATTTCCGATTTGCCACGCCCCACGGATCGAGAGCAACTTGAAGCCTTATTATTCGAGATTATACACATATATAAACAAATTTCAAGTCTCTAGCTTCAATAGTGCTGAAATAGCTTGCATTCACAGTAATTGACAAACTAATATACCCATTTCACTTTGTTGAATGAATATGAAAAGCGGGGTAAATGAAATTGAAACTGAGCGAGGACGATGAATGCAAAATCCTTGGCACATGCAAGTGTTGCTGTTGTTGTTAGCGCTTTGGCAAACTAATTAGCAAATGTACACACACACACACACACACACACATACATGTGCGCACATATTGAGATAGAGACTTGGACAAATGTCAACATATCTAAAAGCTAATAAAGCAAGGAATTGAATTGCTAAAGCAACTCAAACTTGAAGCAAAAGAAGTCCGAGCGAAAGCCAAAGCCAAAGCGGAAGCCAGCTGTCAATTACTTTTGCATATCCTTGCACTCAATCCTTGTTGTTGTTGTTGCTGTTGTTGCTGTTGATAACGAGCTGAGTTGTGACGCTGCAGGCGCCTTCACAGCCGTCCAAAGAGCGACAAAAAATTGCTAAATTGATTAAAAAGCAAAGTGTCGATGAACGAGCCAATGATGACAGCAGCCCAGAGCCCGGCACCGACTCCCGGCTCCCGGCTCCCGACTCCTGCTCAGTCCTCCCCACAAACCGACTAGCCAGGACATGCCAAAGTCAATGGGCAAAACTAAAATAACAAAATAAAACAGTAAATAAAAAAAAAACTAGAATGATGAAAAAAGTGAAGCCAAAGCGTGCGGCAGCAAAAACCCCGAGTCCTCCATGCAAAGGATAGCCGACAACAGCAGCAACATCAACAGCAACAGCAACAGCAACAGGACACGCAGCAGGAGTCGCACTAGCTGACAACAGGACGCCGCAGTCCTGCGCCAAATGTACTAAACACGCAGACCTCAACTGCTATGCTATGGAGTTAGCCCCAAACGTTTGCCGAGTGCCAAACAATCAAGCGAATGAACAAACGATACGAAAGATACGGCTGACATCGATTCATGTGTACTTGATATACCCTAAAATATTAGAATATTGGAGATTATAAAACATGGCTGTAAATGTTATTCTCTTCTTCTTCTGAAAGTTTATTCTAGATATTTCATCTACAGGAAAAGTTATTCAACAAATAGTTTTCTATGGAATGTGTGTGTGTGTGTGCATGTAGAAGCATAGAATGATAAATATCAATTCATTCAAGACTTCAGAGCAGTCTCAACTCGAGCACTCTTACTTATCTGATTGATTGATTGACAGATTGACTGGCTTAGGTCTACTCACTTGTTTTAGTATATGTTTTCATATTCATATTTTATTTGTTATATATCTATTAAATTCTAATATTATTTATTTAATTTATTCCTATTTTTGTGCTTTTATTTTATTTTATTTTATTTTTTTTAATATTATTATATCCTAATAGT